GGAGAGAGAGAGATCGGAGGAGAGGCTCTCGGGGGGAAAGGGGGAACCGAATGGGGTGAGAGAGAGAGAGAGAGAGAGAGAGAGAGAGAGAGAGAGAGAGAGAGAGATAAAACTTGGTAAGACTTGGTCAATCTTGGTGACCAAGCTTTGACTCAAGTCAAAAATGACCAAAATACCCCTATCTAACCTTTTTAATCCAACGGTCAAGATTCGATCTAATCTTGAAATCAACGGTCCGGATCGAATCTCGCTTTAAAATATCCAAGGGTATTATGTCTTTTCCAACTTTGGGGGCAAAATGACTAAAACACCCTTGTCTCATAAAACTAACCCTTTAAAAAGCCTTAGGGGCAAAACGGTCCCTTTCCTCATTTCTCATCGAAATCGAATTTTTCTGAAGTAATCAGGACAATCTAAAATTGCACGTTCTATCCGTAACGTCGTCCTAACATCCCGTTGTGACTTCCAAATTTTTCCGATGTCCAAATTGGGCTCAATTAAATAATCAAATTTTATTAAACGCAACTCGAGCGTTTCTCAACTAACGGGCGGCTTGTTGGGGAAATTCGCATATTCGACCTGTGACTGATACTAAATCGAGTCACGTGAAATTTTATTCCGTTCGCGACGACTTCGGTTGTCATTTAAATCGCGAGGATCAATCACTAGATCTGAGGGGTACGATCGTTCGGTATAGGCTCAGGATCATTCGTCAATTCATTTCGTGGTCTGGCGGTATCACCCGCGATCCACTACTCTGACAGTGGCGAACTGACCCCTGACTATCCTTGGATCGGCCAATAGTGGCTCAAAATGTCACCTCGGCGATTTCATGGTCGAAAGTCAATTCACGATCGAATTTTCTTTTAGTCATACGAATTTAAATCCCTAATTAGCCTTTCCCTAATGGTTAGTATCCTAGGAATGATCAGTTCCAGGTGAGAACTAACTACGAGTACATTCATAAAACTCAATATTTTATAAATTCCAAATGGACCAATTTCAGGATGTCACACATAATATACTTTTCTTACACTTTCCACTCCTTTTGCTTCCAATCAGAATTTGTGCGTGCTTGCCAATTCAATACCATGAGTTTTGTCCAACAAAAGATCATCAGATTTAATAAGTTTCAATGTTGCAAGTTAGCCATTAGTGAAAATTCTAACTTTTTTGTAACTCTTCCCATTTAATATTTCATTGGAAGTTTTTTATTATCTTCTCTCAATATTTCGAAATTGTAGTTGATGACATATGAAATTTCCCTATGTCATATAACAACAATTAAGAATTTTCTAACTATTATCTAATCCCTATATTTTATAATATGAACTAAGAATTCCATTTTTACTTTGTTCAAAAGAGGAAGATTCATATATACAGCTTAAGTTAGAAAAATACGTAATCCAACTTAATACAAATGAAAAGAAATTCACCCTCATGTGCGATACACAGGTATGTTACTAGTTATATCTAGAACGTGTACCGTTACCGATTTTAAATACACAACATGCAAGATCTTAATCATCTTAAATAAATGGATAATGATTAAGTCCGCCATCAGTATAAAAATATTATTACACATTCGTCGTCGGATGGAGGACACGTATCAATGGAGCTAGTATTGTAACCAAACTCTTCCACGTGTCAATGGTGTAACGGTGAATATATAAACTACCATTCAGCCCGACAATGGATTTAATAAAGACCAATTGACTTGTGACTCCTAAGTTGCCCCTTGAAATTTGAGTTTTACCATGAGCTCCTACAATAGATTAATTTTCCACTGACTAGCTACCATAATGTTACTCCTTATAAAAAGTAGAGACTGAACTGATCAACTTAAAAGAGTGTTGCTTTCATAAAATAGCTTCTTGCAAGACATTCACCTTTTGCAAGGAATGGAGAGAACAAAGGTCAAGTTGTGTCTGAAAAAGAGGACAGGCCGTGTAAAGAGAGATTTGGACGGTGCCTTCGAGGTTTGCTCAAACGTCCTTTGACTCCTTTCCATGTGCTTTTACAGCACCACATGCTGGGACTCATTTCAACCATACATGAAGTTAAATTTCGATGATCCGGAATCGCCGAGACAAGAGGGACTGGACTTAGAGACGATGCTTCAGTTGGGCCATGTTATCTACCCAACTTGATCGCTTACTAGCATTTTATCAACCTATCTTAATATACCTAAAAGTGAGACCCGACTTGCTAAGATATAGTAGAGTTTAGTTATAGTACACTAGAGATTTAAAGCATACAACTATAATCAATGTGCATCTCAATCAGACTTACATGATATAACACCAAATCATCCTAGTGGGGAATCTGGTGAGCTAATTTTTACGCCGTACATATATGTATATAATCAGTATTATCGACCTTCGAGATGTTTTCTAGAGCTAGAACTTTCCTAATTTTGATAGAATAAAACCGCCTAAACATATATTTTTTCGTCAGAGAGAATAAAAACTATCTTGTCTTAGAATACTGGGCAATTCCTATAAATGTGACAAATTTTATTTGCCATACTTGCAACAAAGTTTTATCATAGTAACTTGTTACAGCAATCGATTCAAATCCAAATTGTACATCTGATCGGAGGTAAATACAGGAGACTGAAATAGAAAGCCAAACTTTTGCGACTTAAACTCTACCCTCGATCAGTTGACAGATCAGGCTTATGATCGAGCCTTAAAAAATTGTTTCCTAGGCCATCTATGATTAACAAATTGTCGAATGAGTTTGGACGGATCTTGGCGAGTCGGGTTCAAGAAGGGCATGGCTTGCCTAGGCCTACTCATTTTGCTCTTCAAGTGATCGGGCCTAATGAGCACATTGATGTCGGCCCACTTAGGGGTGAGCAACTTGAACCGCCCAAACCGGGACCGGACCGGACCGACAGGTTTGGTCCGGTTCAAGGGACTATCGATCCGGTTCCCGGTTCCTAAAAGCGGAACCGATTTCCGGGGGCGGTCCGGTTCCCGGTTCCAAGGGAGAACCGGACCGGACCGGACCGACTATTTAATATATATTTTTGTTATTTTTTTCTTTAAAAAAATTAATAAAATGTGAACTAAACTCTAAGTGAACTTCATTATCATAAATTCATTGATAAAAATTAGTAAAATGTGAATTAAACCCTAAGTGAACTTCATTGACATAAATTCATTGACAAAAATTAGTAAAATGTGAATCAAACCTTAAGTGTTTAACCAAAATAAAAAAACTAAACTCTAAGTGACCGGTTCCATTAGACCGGACTGGCGGTCCAGTCCGGTTCCCGATTCTAGAACCAACCGGTCCTGTCCGCGGTTCCCAAAATTGGGAACCGGTTCTCTCGGTCCGGTTCCCGGTTCCACCTTGGAACCGGACCGGGCTGGGAACCGATCACCCCTAGGCCCACTCACCAATTGGTTAGGTCTACTTGATCCTGAGGCTTATTTTTTGCATTCAAGCTCAAGAAAACTCCATGTGTGTTGACACCTATTTTTAATTTGCCCAAAATTAATTGCACAAAATTTAGGAATTAATTTCTTTAATTCCTAAAACAAAAATATTTCAATTTAAATGCATTGCATATAGAAATTAGGTACATTTGCACAAAAATAAAAAATTTTAATTTTTTTTTCTTCTTCTGTATTTTTTTTATTTTTTATTTTTTATTTTTTATTTTTCGAAATTTTTTTTTTTAAAAAAACTTTTTTTTTAAAAATTATGTTATATCTAAGTGTTTAATTTATCGTAGTATTATTATGCATATTTCATTCAAGCTCAAGAAAACTCCATGTGCAAGATCCACAAGACTACTCAGCATTTTAAATTAAAAAGAAGATTAGAGTTATTAAATGAAATATGGGTTTTCTGAAATCCTGTAAACGAGTTCTTTTATAATTTGCAAACTAAGCATTAATCAAAAGAAATTTTTTTTTTTTTGGGTCAGAACATTGATCAAAAGTATGAGTGGGGCAATGTTACAATTCATGAGCTGGTATTGCCTGGTCTACGAATCAGGCATCAATCTTTCACGTGCCATAAAGCATACAGATTAATCAACTCATCAATGTTACAATTCAGAACATTAATCAAAAGTATGAGTAGGGCAAGCTACAATTCATCTTTCTTTTCATAAGTTGTTGCGAATTGCCCCCGTCCTCCCAAATTTTACAAATTTCCCCCTAAGTTTTAGTCATCAATTGCAATATGTCCCTCGGCGTCGACTTTCCACCAAACTTTGTCCGGAGCCCCGACCACGTGACAACACGCCACTACTTAACGAAACGCAAATTCATCACATAAGTATGCACATTCATAAAACAGAAGAATTACTCAGTTACATAGTGCATGTCTGAACATCGAAGTTCCTGCGAGAATTCGGCCGGAGTAAACACCCAATGTAAAATCAGTTTCAAAATACAGTTTCGAGTACTCCCCACATTTTTGTCTCCCGTATCACCTGCCGTCGCGCGTCGCCACCGATTTCAAGAAGTCACCGGACGAAACCGTAAAATTCCAAAACGTGTCGGGCAGGTAACTCCACGCGGGCTCGAAAACTCGAGAGCGGGGTCCACCCCTAATTTGTCGCGACATGTACCTTTCACCATCCTCGGTCACACACGGCACTCATGCTAATGATTTCCGGCGGCCAAAAACGGAAAATTCCCCGACACATGCCGTGCGGTACAAGCAAGCAAAAAATTTCGACCCAAAAAAAGAAAAAGGCAAAGGAAAATTCGCCAAAAAAAGGGAGCTCCAAGAGTCACGGGAAATGCCACTATTTTCCGGCAGCATCATCAACATCTCCAAACCTCGGTCCTTCTTTTGCCGAACACGGACAAGAAAAAAATTGCGAGAAAAAGAAAAAGGAGAAAAAAAAGTAAAAAGGAAGAGCGTTCGTCCATCTCGGGGCCCCGACCACTCCGAGGCCGCCACGTGTCCGGCCGCGAAACCCCCGCCCAAAAAAAAACCGTTAACGTATATATAAATACACGCGCTTCGCGCGTGACGGATCTTGAGTCGCGCTCCTCCGGCGGAGCCACCGTTCTCTTCACGCCATCGCCGAGCTCTCTCTGTGATTCCTTTGGGATCGATGGAGGTCGGAGGCGCGGGGATCGGCCCGAGCCGCGCCTCGAACGGGCCGGCGGCGGCGGCTGGCGGGGGCGGGGGCGGGGGCGGCGGGGGCGGCGGCGGCGGATCGGCCTTGATCTTTCTGGGGACGGGGTGCTCGAGCGCCGTCCCCAATGCGAGGTGCCTGATCCAGCCGTCGGACCCGCCGTGCCGCGTCTGCTCCCAGTCGCTCCTGCTCCCGCCGGATGCTAACCCTAATTACCGGTACGGGGTTCGTTCCGCCCGTGTCGCTTCTGCCGATTCGATTGCTCCCTATTGCTGGGTTCGCGGTGATGCGTTGTGTTTTTTCGGACCGAGATCGGTGAATGTGGTTTGTTGTGGCGTTTGATTCGGTCTTTGATTGGAATAGATTCTTGAAATATTCGAGGAGTCGCTGGGATTTTTTTTTTTTTTTTTTTTGGTTCCCCCGTTCGTTGTTTGTCCCGTGCGTTGATTTTGGAATGTTTAGAGCGGTGTTGTGTGTGGATGTCCTGTTGCAAGTATGAGTATGGACGTGTTGTGTTGATGGTGCATTGGGTATTTTGAGAAAACATATCAATATGGCCCCATTTAGATGAGTTTGAGCAGGTTAAAACTGGCAGTGCCTTTATCTGTTAAGGGAGAAGGTGTGGTAAAGTGGTCGTTGAGTGCAACTTGGACCATATGCCTCATTTGGTATTTGGTGACTTTGTTGGAGGCTTATTATCTTCTACTGGTTAGTTGGACCATCGTTTGGACTGGAACGACGCCTATTTTGTATTCATGGTAGTCACATGGATATATGGCAGATTATCTTGTTTTGCTGTTATCCACCACATTTAAGTGGTCTTTTTCAACATATTGTGGCTGACTTGTCAAGATGGATCATAGACCCATTTCTTAAATGATGGGCTAGGTTGCACAGCATTGCCATTATCTCATTTCCACTACTGTTGAGCTGGTCAAAACTGAAGAGTTTTTTGTTTGGCTTCGCTATCTAAAGTAGATAAACTAACCTTGTGAGTTGCATCAATCTTCACTGCATCAGTTTCTCAGGAAAATTGGGAAAAGCCCTGCTATTAGTTTAAGACAATTGCTTGTCGCCTGTTCACTTGTTAGGTTGCTTATAATTTACTCCGGCCTCTGAGGCAGATCATGGTGAAATTTCGATGTTGAGTTCTAACGATCTCTCATACCTTGAAAATGAAGATTTGATAGTTTTCATCCTGTCAATTGCAGGTGCAATACTTCTCTTCTTATTGATTACTGCCCGAATAATACTAAGCATAGCTATATATTGATTGACGTTGGGAAGACATTCAGGGAGCAAGTAGTTCGGTGGTTTACATTATATAAGATTCCTTGTGTCGATTCAGTGAGTTATCCCCATGTACTTCTTTTGTATATATGATTGATTTATATTTACTAATTATTTGCTCTTTTCAATTCCAGTTGTTTGACATGTGACTGATCTTGATGGATTTCTTCACATCAAGTTTCCAGTTTGTTAATTGTATTCGTTGATTCTATATGAATGTTCTTAAAAAGGCGCGTGGACTGTTGAATGATCATTTTGCACACAAGATCATCCATGAGTACTATATGACATGGAAATATTTGTGCCAGTAGTATTATGTCCACATACATCACCCGATGGGAAGGGTGATCTTCTAGGCTGTCATTGTGTGTATGCAAATCTCTCTACAGATTGAACAAACGATGCCACTAGTTTATTGATAATTCTGCAATTCACAGATGAAGATGATTCTAACCAACAACAAATGCAAAACTTTTTCATTTGACTTGCTGATTGGTTCATCCGAGTAAATCACTGTCTAAAGGAGATATTTTCAATGGCCTCATACGAAATTGGGCTCAAGAAATTATATAAACAATGTGATCAAATATGTTATAACCCATAGATGCCAGGAGTAACATGAGTAGTATACTTAGAGAACTATATTTGCTGCTGTAGAAGGAATAAGTTTAAGCCCCCTCACCCCCACACACACCTTCCTTCTTCCATCTTGTTGCATTAGAACATATTGCTGTTTACTCTCATGCAGATCATAAGCTAGGACACAGGAAGTACTTTCCATTTTATTATAAACACTCAGGGCCCAGCTAGTTTTATGCTGGTGTGGGTCATGTTTGTTAAATTATTAAATGTTTTGAAGTATTTAACTTCTTTTTCCCTGACATTGGAGACTTGTCAAGGTTATCACTTTTTTTTCTATTCTGGAGGACGTATTCCTGAGGGCCAAGTGGATAGAATGGCTGCTTTAGTCTCAAACCTCCTTGGACTATAACTTCTACTAACTCTAGGATTTGACTATAGGATTAAAATCGCACATGGGACTTTCATCTTGCACAATCTGTGTTTTTTTTTTTTTTTTTTTTTTTTTTTTTCAATTGGAAGCTTCAGTTCAAAGTTCTATAAAAGAGAACAATGTTGGCCTAACTGGTGTTGTGTCAAATGTAGAAAAATCTGACTACCGGCAGTATCAAATTCCATTATGGGGAAAATAGAGCCATGTATTTGAAACATCATCATACCTCTCGCAATTTTATGTTCTTGCGGAGCGATTCCAGAGCTTTCACTGCTATTTTAACGGATTTAAAATTGCAAACGGCAACACGTATCTTATGGTGTATCTTTGGTGGACTTTGCTTTTAATTCATGTTAGATCATTTCTGCTATCGGCCTTCTCTAACGTTCTGGCTATAGCTAGGAGAGAATTTGAATATTCCTAACAATGTTCTACTAGGTCATGCTTAAATGGTTGATCACTTCTTTTATATCTTTTATTTTCCATTTTAAAAGCTAAACTGTCTTAACAGAAAATATCAATATTATTCTCTTGGAGCATTAGTCAGCTGTGGCTGGTTCTATCTTCAAAAAACTATTCCTACAGAGAATGCTCAAATCACATGGTAGTAGGCTGTGCTGATTAGTGCAGCATATTCAATAGTACCTATTTCATAATATATACCATTCTGACACTCTTTTAGGATTTTCATTTTCTTGTTTATCTGTTTATCACCGTCAAGTCAAATGCTTTGCAATAGAAGCAATCTCTAAGTGCTAGAGCCTAAAACTAGTATTTGTGCAAACTGCAGATAATCTTGACTCATGAACACGCTGATGCAGTTCTTGGTCTGGATGATGTTCGTGCCATACAACCTTTTAGTCCCACGAATGACATTGATCCAACTCCTATATACTTGAGTCAGCATACAATGGACAGGTACACTTCTAGACTCACGAGAGTTAATTCTTGCAACTATTTTATACTCTCTCTGGGCCTTGTTTCAAAAAATATTAGGCTCCTACCATAGCGGATGAATTTCTTTAACCATAGGTTGTATGATTTAAGGAAGAATATATTTTATTGAGCACCGTTCAAAGAAAAACAAAAACAGTGGGCACAATGTTCTCATCTCTGCTGCAATCATTTCTGTCTTATATACTACTTTTATTGTGCCTGAATTTATTTCAGTAGAAGCTCCCTTGTTTTGTGTTTCTTATGCTTGACTTTGTGAGGTCAAAGAAAAGTCCGTCAATTATTGTGGCATCAACAGGATTAGTACTTTGTAAAGTACCCTGTTTTTTGAATCACTGCCCGTGACCTTGCATGCTTTTCATTGAGCAGACAGACTAGCATCAGTTAAATGTAAGAATTTATTTTGCATAAGTATCGAGATGCTCATCTATTTCAGTTTTTGTTTTCTTGTCTTGAAAGTATCTTTCTGTTCTCAAGTATCCTTTCAGTTTGATCACTGTGTGCATGACCCCAATATCATTACTCCTGCATGAGGTCTTTGTTGCTGAGCCACAAGACCTCAGGTTTTATATGTTCAAGCTGCCGAGTATTTTCATTCTTCTGGTAATACAGATGACGAGTGGCCTACAAGAACTGAGCTCTCATGTCTTGTTTTCTCTTAATGTTCATTCTAGCAACATAAGTTGTTTTTTCTGATTTGTTTGTTAACTTAGAAATGGTGGATCACACACGAGCACTACAAAAGGCTAGTTTTATCTCACTTTTCTCTTTGTGGAGATTTTTTCTTGTTTTCTTTTTTGGGTCTGGGGGTGGGGGCTTGCAAAGGGTGTTGTAATCATAGCGAGGATTTACACAGGACATGTCATGTTGAGGTTTTTAATATGATAAGTGGTACTTAAATGATCCTGTTTATGTTCTTTGAGACAGCATTGCAGAGAAATTCCCATACTTGGTTCGGAAGAAATTTAAGGAAGGTCAGGAGGTGAGACGAGTTGCACAGCTTGAGTGGAAGGTTATTGAGGAAAATTGTGAGAAATCATTTGTTGCTTCAGGCCTGCAATTTTTTCCCCTACCGGTGATTTGCCAACATCTTTTATATAGCTCTTTTATCTACAATTTTTTTTCAGAATAGGTTTTTCATTTTCAGTCTTGTGGATGTAGGTGATGCATGGAGAAGACTATGTATGCCTTGGATTTCTTTTTGGAGAAAAATATAAGGTAGCTTACATATCTGATGTATCTCGCTTCCTCCCAAGCACAGAGCAAGGTGAGTGTAAGAACATGAATCTGCAATTCAAATCTTTTTGTAAGGCACAATTAACTATGTCATATGGCATACATACTGAAGTTGTGAGGTTTAGTAAGCAGCAAAAAACAATTTGACTTGGGTTTTTAAGTGTAGTGCATAGTTGAAACTTCAGCTTTCCCAAAAACGGTTTGCATGATTTCTATCAAACAATGGTATCCGTTGTAGAGATGACGGATAATTGACGTAAGTGGTAGTTCAGTTTTATACTCAGGTTTCTATCAGATTAATAATGTATTGTTCGTTCAAGCTTATTATTCTTTTCCTCCAATATGAGTTATTCCATCAATAAGCAGGTTGCTTATTAGGTACTTAATTACTTGAAGCTATGGTATTTGCTTAATACATGTTCACAGGAAAATTATTAGGGAAAAGGATGCAAAATCAATATTTTTTTTTATAATGTGGACATGGTCTCATATGATGGTTCTACTTACAAGCTCCTGCTTAGTTGTATTACATGCCTGAACACCATATGTTACTTGAGATATGTGGTCTTGTGCAGCAGACTGGTTGTTCATGAAAATTTTATAACTACAGCCCTCAATCATAAAATCAAAGATGGAAGACAAAGGGAATTAGTCATTCAATCCTAATGTCATAAATAAACACTTTTTTATTTCTGAAGATCCTACTTTCACTGAACCGAAGGATGACAACAGATAATGAAAGTATATGGAGAAAGAAACACAAACACATAGACAATAGAAAAGCACTGCGAGCACGTAGTTACACATGCTGATAGACAGATAGAGACGTTGATAAATATATTCCTATCTACACCTCACGAAGACACAACATTAGATTTCTTGGATTAAAGACTAAACAACTTGATTGTTTTGCAGTTATTTCCAAAAAAGGGGTTTGGCAGCTGGATCTTCTTATCTTGGACACTCTGTACAAGGTCATAAATTTTTTGGCTATCCTGATGGCATCTTTTTGATTGAAGGCTGCCAATAAAACTTTGCTTTCATTTAAAGTTTCGATGAATTTTTGTGGCAATTACAGTTTATAGAATTATGAATAAGTCTTTTGATGTTTTACTTCATTTACATGTGGCTTTATGATTCATACATTTAAGTTGCACTTATGGTGTAGAGCATGCTTGATTTGGCTGGTAGTTGCTAGACTTTTCTTATGATTGTTTGCTTCTTTAGATATTATGTAAAAAGAACCATGAGAATATCGATCCAAGGACGTGGTACTGAATAAGATACGTCCAAACATATTTTATTTTATCACAGTAAGTGGTTGATTGAAATATGTGCTGAAGTCTATCACTCTTTGGTTTCGTTTCATGGAGCTCGTTACAACATCAGTAACTATTCCAGACTCTTCGTGGTTAATGTACAAGTGTATAGAATACCAGTCGTGAAGAATTTTGAGTTCAAAGTAGATAATCTTTTCTTGTTTGAGAGGGATAGTAAAAGAAGATTGTTGTAGATAACTGAGTGTGGCTGTCTTTCTGTTCGGAAAATGAGATAAATATGAGGGAATGTGTTCCCTTTCCATTATAACGCCCTTATGCACCAAGCATATCCAAAAGATCAATAATTTATGTGCTACAAAGACTTGATCTTGAAGAGTAGTGATTGTGGGTAGGTCTACATAGTCATTCTTGCAAATGTTAGCAGGTTTTGAAGTCCAAGTGCCTATAATCATGATATTTCCCAGCTGATTCCCTTACCTATTAGGGTCGATTTTATTTTAGCGTCACATCTTAGAGAGTACAACTATTAGTTGGTTTCCTTACTTGTTAGAAGTTATTACAGCAGATGCTATGTTGAACCGTCACTTTTCTGATAGCAGATTTACTTGTTTGGCTGTTTTCATATTAAATCATGGAATACTGTCTTTAGAATAAGGTCCCCTTTAAGCAATATGATTTGTGCTGTCCCCTATTTATGGTAATTATTTAGGCTGGTGGCCAGTTTGTGAGTATTTTGTAAGGTATAAATCTATAGATTTGTATTTTGACTTATGGGCTACACAGAAATTTGGGGACTCTTTCTTCATGTTACCATTACACGTATCTGCCCATACCCTCTTTTCTGTGCTAGCAGTATTGGTTTGTTATAGCATATCATATTGTTAATTTCGTGGCAGCATTATTATCCTGTGCTCAAAAGCTTACTTCTTTTGCAGGAAGGATCTCATAATGTTCACTTTTGCTTGCCTCAGGTTTAACACTGTACTTAAGATACTAATTACTATTACTGATTTGAGCCCGAAGGAGCAATCTCCTGAGGATGCATCTGAGAAACTTGAGATTTTTTTTTACACAGAGTCTTGAAGCCATCAAGAGGATATGTCCAAAGCAAGCTCTACTAATTGGAATGACTCATGAGTTTGACCACGACAAGGACAATGAATCTCTTATTGAGTGGTCAAGAAGGTAACCTACTCATCAAGACTTTCTCAGCGGCTTTTTACATCTGGTTGACAACAAATCATGTTTTGTCTATCAAAAGTGCCCGTCTTTTTTTTTATCAACTAAAAGTGTCAATTTGTACGCCTTAAAAAACTATGTTTCCAAGGCAAGGATTTGTCGATATAGTTTTTGCATACTTTTCCTCTTTATGTATGTATGGGAACAAGTGGTATCCATAGTTCTGCCACCCTCCTCTCCCTTTCTTCTAATTATGAAATTAGGGATCAAGAACAAGGCTGATCTTTACTTCTAAATTGTTTGAATCAGAGAAGGAATCAATGTGCAACTGGCACGCGATGGCTTGAGGGTTCCCATAGATCTGTGATGATTGGCAAGGTTAGATTGAACCCAATTATCGATTTATAGCTTTAATCTTGGATCATAACATTTTGATTTATTGCTCTAGTCTTAGATCAGAACATCTCTCTCTCTCTCTCTCTCTGCATGCTCACCGATGGAGATAACTGATGTATTGCTACATATGTTCTCGATGCAGATCGGACATTGAGTTGTCAGATTAGGAGTATATATGGTTCCACAACCCACAACCCATGTTGGGTCAACGGGATGACGCCCACGCTCAAGCAGTTACGTGATTTATTGTCCTGGCCCAGTTTCAAATTGATTTGGAAGGTGCTTCACGTAGCGAAGGGCACCCTGCTGACTAACGATCACTATATCATTACCATGTTGCATTGCTAATGCTCTGAGATAAAGGAGTCTGACGCCTTAGCATAGTGCGGTTTGTACGTGTTCTGTAACATTGATTGAATCCCCGAAAGGAAAAGTAGAAGAGTAAACATTAAAGGGGAAAGTTTATAAGCGTAAAATAGTTTTTTTACATTCAGTACTTGCCCGAAGCAAGGTCTCTCTCTCTCTCTCTCTCTCTCTCTCTCTCTCTCTCTCTCTCTCTCTCTCTAAACCTTGCAGAAGCCTTTTGGCTCTAAATGTAACTCTTCGTTTATCTTAAGGATTGTTTGCCTTAATTTCACCATTAAAAATTCACTGAGAAAGGGGCAAAAACACTTGCTATAAATTTCCATGCTTTGACGTGAGACTTGATCAATGGGCAGGCAGTGAGGGCTCGAGCCAAGCAAGCCAAACTTTGCTGGTAACGACTGCGAGGTCGGCCGAAGCCAAACATCCAAACGTGTTCCCAGTCCAAATCTCCCATGTTATGGGTGGCTGATCGACCGTTAGATCCATGATTGACCCACGCGCTTCCTTGATTACATTCATGCTCACAGCTCACAGCAGCACCCGTCCTCACACAAGACCACTTCCTAAAAGAACTAGACTAGAAAAGGCTTAATTTGAGGCCTTGCTAAAACGATCCCACTTCGCCACATTTAGACACTTCTGTTGTCATGATTGCTGATCAAAAGAGACATTTTTCGTGGAAACAAAATTCTCTTGGCACAAAAGAAGATACTACACTACCATTACATTTGTTTCCCTGCCGGTTGATTCTGTTAATTATAGCTCGAAGTTCTTGTTTGTTAGTACGCTTGAAGTGTTCGTGAAGGCTCGGAGAAGGAGAGGGATGAACGGAGGGTGCGTGAAGGCAGCCTGCCCGACACCTGAACATAGCAGGACGTCAAGCGGGTGCACCAGGCCACGGAGTGGCCAGGCTGACGGCCAGGTATGGGTGCCTAGACCAAGTTGGCCAACCAAGCTGGTCGGGCACCCGACCGGCGTCTAATAGCTGAACGTGTTTCCAGCGCAACAAGCAGGTTGCCTAGGCCAATTTTCACAGGCGCCCGGCTCCGACGCAGCCTTGATCCAGACATGTTTTGAACCCTATTTCGAAGCCTATTTTGTATCTGGAACTTGTGAAAACCAAGAGTTTTTTTTAGAGTCGTCACCCGAAAGAGTTGAGAATCAAAGAAAAATTCTTTTTTGTGATCAATTCTTGCGGGTTTAGGTCTTATCTAGGATTGGGAAATGCTTGAGTGTTGAGTATTCCAGCGATTGTAATCTTGTTTTTGCCAATTATAGTAAAACCATCTCGTCAATCTCTCGCCATACAACAGGCACACCACCGAACCGCGTAAATTCCTTTTGTTAGGTTTACTTTTCAGTTATTCATTCTTGGTCGTGACAAAGTGGCATCTACGAAGATTGAGTTGGAGAAACTCACACTGCATCAACAGTTTCGGCTGGTGGCGCATTAAGATGCAGGCGCTGCTTGAGATACAGGACTTGGATTTAGTATTATTCTGCTGAATTCAAGGGACGACGTCTTGGTTGAAGTGGTGAATGAGAGGTGTGTAACTGCAGTTTGAGCAAAATTTAATGTTTGATGAACATGCGGACGTTCACATTGGAAAATGTTTATTTACGCCGCACGACTACATCATCCGACGGCCACGCAAGTTGGATTTGGTGTCAAAGGGACTTGATTAAAAAAAATTTGTGAAAGTAGAACTTAGATTAGAAAAATTTAAAGTACATGAACTTGATTAGAGAAACGTGAAAGTATAATGGAGAAACGTAGAATTTTTCGAAATAATATAGGACTAAATTTGATTGCGTATAACTTTTTTTCATTTGATGTCCGATCAATATGATTCTCAACCTAAACAAAAAAGCTAGCGACCTGAACATTCCAAAAATGCAGATTTCCAAAAGAGTGTCGGGATCGTGGGTTTTCGTAAATTGAGCCGAACGTATCGAGGTGAAAAGTCACGATACCTCCCTCAAGAAAACTCCCATCGAAGCGATTTTCAAGGCATTGGAAAACTTACGACCAAATCAACGTGATGTCATTACTTAATCTATTAAAATCACAAGTTTTTCCAGCTTCATCAAGATCAAATGACTATGATTGAAAGTCACGATATCCAGTAATTCAACTTCTCAATTTGAGCAAATGGGCACCGTTGGAAAGATCTTATGAGAGACCAAAATTGTACATCGTAGTCTTTATCGAGGTTGCACTTGTCGACCAAAATTTGTTGGAATGTCTATAAATAATTGTGTGTCTACAGTGTCAGCGACCACCATGAATGTCCCTCCAGCCTTTGGTGGCCCATACCTAGGGTGGCCTCCGACAGCGATATTGGACTTTCAGGCCAGCGGCGCCGCCGTACACATACGCAAAGAGAAAGAAAATTTGCATGAGAAAAAAACGAGGATTTCGAAAACTATGTGGGATGGAGAGAATGAGAAATTTTCAAAAATTATCTCCAAATTTTTCATTTCTCTCCCTTTGGCTAATTTGTCCAATCGAGCAATGAAGATTCCAATCATTAGTGTAGAGAGGATCTTGTAAAACAACATTTATTTTGGTTTTCACAAAAAACAGAAACATAGAAGAGGAAAGCTAAAAGGTGAAGCAGTGATGAAAATGATGATGTCTCTGTTCCTTTTTGTTCCTTTTCTATTTCATTCTTTTTTTCTTTCTACCAAAGGAATTTCAATCCCAAATCACAATGCTCGAGGGAGCATTGGATGCTCTTATGTCAAAAGTATTGGAGGTGGGGAAAGTTGATCTTATGGTAAAAAAGGTAAGTTGTCTTATTTGAAAGGGTTAATATAATGATAAATTTCAAATTGATACATTTGTGACAAATTTATCTTCTGTTAATTTGCGTTAAATCGAATTAATACCACGAAAAGTTACAAACTCATACACCTGTGATAAACGGAGGGTAAAACTCTAAACCGATAACCGATTTGACAATAAAATTTAACGAAAACTAACAGAGAGTAAATTTATCACAGGTTGTACAAGTTTGGGGTAAATTTGTTACAAGTGTAATAGTTTTTGGTTTTTGATAATTTAACCCTATTTGGGAAGAATCATTATGAGATATGATGCCAATTATTTTATTTTGAGAGTTAAGAACACGCCATTGTCTAGAAATTTTAATGAAAAAATGTTTGTGGGCACTTATTTAAAGGCCTAATTAAAAAAAACAACAACTTTACCTTAAGTGACAATTTTGGTCCGAACTTTTTTTTATCTTATAAAAAATCACAAACTTTAACTTAAATCTCAAATCTTGCTTGAACAATTTGAAAATTTCATATCACAAGGGCCAAATTTGGGACACGAGTAAAAGTTAGTGCTTTTTAACGAGACAAAAAAAATTCCGGGCCAGAATTGTCACTCAATGTAAAGTTGTAGTTTTTTTTCTAATTAACCTCTTATTTAAAGGATTTAATAATCAAATTAAGCGATTTTCACTTTTTAAAAATTAATTTTTTTCGAAAGTGAGAATATTCATTGGTGCATTGTATGCTATATGTAGATTTTGAAACCTTGCCTCTTCACTCACGCGTCACCACCCCCATCCCCTTGCCTACTGGGCTGAGCGTCCAGTGACTAACTACTCGTTAACATGATCCACATATAGATTAATGTACTCACACCCTTGCGTGTTGTTTGATTCATGTTATTGTTTAATATTAGTAAGTTTAACAACGGAAATGATGCTAGAGCAGAGTTGGAATAGTAATAAAATAACAAATATTCTCATTTGATTTGCTTGATAATATAGTTTACTTTTTAATGAATTAGTATATAAGGGGAAATTACCAAAAAAAATTATGAAGTTTTGTGATAGTACACGTTTGCTTTCAAACTTTCAATCATTACATAATATTGCCCCGAACTTTCATTAACACTCAATTTTTTTCGTTTGTATGTGTAATGCACATGGCTTTTAAAGGGTCAAAGTATATTTTCATATCACTTCGTGGAATTCTCTCTATTACCTTACTTAAGACAAAAATATACAATATGAGAGAAAACTTAATTAACGGAAACAATAAATTAACTAAAATGCTAACAAACCAAACATTAAGAATAAAAGTAACTTTTTTTTTTTACATTTCGATGATAATAACGATGCATCCCAACTAAATATTTTTTTTTCGTTTGTATGTGAGACAATGCCCTAGCGGTTGTTCCTGTTTGGTTGTAATTTAAAAATTAAAAAATAAAATTATGAAATAAAAAATAATGAATTATAAAATTATGAATTAATGAATTATTCAATATAAATTGTAATCAAAATGTAAATTGTAGGGTGATCGATGACTTTTAGGCTGAACCCTGTCTCGGATGTAGATGAATTGCTATATTTTCATCTCACTTCGTGTAGGAATTCTCTCTATTACCTTACTTAAGACAAAAATATACAATATGAGAGAAAACTTAATTAACGGAAACAATAAATTAACTAAAATGCTAACAAAACCAAACATTAAGAATAAAAGTAACTTTTTTTTTACACATTTCGACGATAATAACGATGCCATCCCAACAACCACGGTCCTTTTAAACGGCTAACTAATGAAGGATATATGAAAAATAAAAAATCAAACTTACCCGTATTATTATTGTTATTGTTGTTGTTATTTTTTAATGGTCATTACATTTTTTCTTATTATCTTGTATTTATCGCTCGAAACAAATTTGTCTTACCTTATTTTGAGGCAAAAGAGTGATTTGACTAAAAAGTGAGAAAAGAATTATAATTTTTGCCCTTGGAAATAATAAGGTTTCGTTAGTTTTTCCCAAACACTAGTTGATAAAATCTAGGAGATAGATAGACACGTGGCTCCGTACAGAAAAGGAAAGGCACCAAACCAGCAGAAGCCATTGTCCGAACCTGACGGTAAAAGACGAAAACGCACGAAAACGCACGCGTTCTTGCACCTGCCAGCCATTGTTTCTCTTTCTTCTTCGTCTTCTTCTCCGCTTCTTCAGCTGTCAGTCAGTCAATCAGTCAGTCACAGTCACCAGAGATCGGTCATGGCTCGCCGTCGCCATCAGCGCGGTCATCGCCGCCGGAGGGAAGGCGAAGGTGCCGGGGGGCGGGGTGAGAAAACTCCTGACACCCCACCGATCGGCAGCCCTCATTTCTTCAAGATCGTGCTCTCTCGCACGCTCGACTCCGGAAAGCTTGTGAGTTCGTCCCCACTTCACAGTTCGTTCCATACCCATCAATTGTCTTCAAGCTGGTCCGTCAAGGACGTCTCTGGCTTGCTATGAACTGTTAAATTCTAGCAAAAAGGGAAAGATAAAAATCGAAATAAAACTGAAAACCTGAAGGCCAAGTTTATTCGGGTTATTTTTGCGAAACGAGGTCATGGATATCTCTGAAAGGTTATTGAGTCTGGTCTTTCAAATTGGTATAATAAGTTATGCGGCGGATTTTTTGTTAGGAGTTGAACATGACCCGCTTGTTCGGAAACCCGTTTATAATTTATCGTGTTATTTAGTATAGTAATTTGGCGATTTTATTTTAGCATAGCTAGCATTCCTCAACATTATTATTGTGAAAGATGAACGTTGATTGGACAATTGAATTCCGCAGTTGTATAGTGACAGCATTGTCTGTGGAAATTGATCATTCATCTGCAGGGTGAAATGTCAAGTCTCCTGGTTTTTCTTTTTTTGGTATCTTTGAATTTAGCTATAATTAAGGGCAATGGATTTACCATAAACTTTCATCACAGGGAATTCCAAAAAGCTTCTTAAGAAGATATGGAAAGGATCTCTCAGGTGTGGTGCTTCTCAAGGTTGCAGGTGGTTCCACCTGGCCTGTGAAACTAGAAAAGAATGACAATGGCATGGTTTGGTTGTGCAAAGGGTGGCGAAAATTCATGGAGCATTATTCGATCGATCATGGTCACCTCATAGTCTTCAAGTATGAAGGGGACTCCATTTTCCGTGTGATAATATTCGATAAGAGTGCTTCGGAGATTGATTATCCCTTGAGCATCGAAACTGATTTATCGAGTCCCAAGGGCGAATTCCTCTCGCAGAAAGAGCAAAATATCGTGGAAATTGAAGATTCAGAGGGTTTCGTGCCTTGTTCGTGGCCAAGTTCAAACAGCTCGTCACGAGAACTTGGAGGTGTGACTTGTGTTCCTTCTCGGCATAACTCTCTTACCTCAGTTCTTGTCATGTTCAATTTCTTCATAACTTAATAACAAATAAGCTATTTTTATATGTTGATTAATAAAGTCTGTGGAATCTTAGTTAATTATTTACTTCTAATTTGAAGGTGATTATGAAATTACCACATCAAATCATGTTTATCTTGAAATTATAGATTACATTATTTTTCCCATCGATGCGAATGTCGTAGTCAATTAATTGATAAAAACTAGTGCAGTTCTCATTTCTCAAATGCAGACGAAATCAAACAGTTTCAATGTAGAGTAAGTCATCTTGAGCTGGTTTTTCATGGTTCTGCAGTTCCAAGGCGTGTCACTGCTCTTGAATTAGCCAGCGAATTCAAATCCGACCATCCCTCTTTCATAGTGGCGATGCGGCCTACTTATGTTCAGAGATTTTTGGTAAGATCCCGAGCTCTTTTCCAGTGGCATACGTCGAATTCAAACATGATCACTGTTTGTATTTTGTCATATATTCTAGTGTTTGCCCAGTCGAATTAGTTTGTGTAGGAAACCAGATGGCATGTTATTTTCCTTGTAGTGTTCATGGTACGAGTCAAATTCAGATACGAATCCTATCTATAACTTGTCTCCAAATTGATGGCTACAGCTTTTGTCCAGGAGCATATATTTTGGCATTTAGACGCGAAATTGCAGGTTGAGTGGTTATGATTGATGACTTCCGTTAGCAAGTAAAAACAATTGATTAAAACTCCTGAAACTAGAAAATTTTATCATAAATTCACATATCTCTTATCCTTATTCTATCACCTTTGTTAATCATATATTGGTTATTCAAACACCTACTGGCAGAGCATCCCTCAAGAATTCTTCAGGAAACATATTCAAAAGGACAAGCAAATCGCGACTCTTAGGTACTCAGACAGATCTTGGCAGGTGAAGCTGAGGTGCTATGAACACAGAAATATAGCATGTCTCGCTACTGGTTGGCCCTCATTCGTAAGAGAAACTGGTCTCTGTGTAAGAGATGTCTGCGTGTTCGAGCTCATTGATAGGGATGACATTGTCTTGAGAGTCTCCATTTTCAGCCGTGATGGTAAGGGCCTGATCCATGTTGATTGAGATGAACACTTGAAGTTTCACTGTACACCGTCTAAATCACCTAGGAACTCAGTATTCCAAATTATGACTCCTTTGTTCAGTTCGGCAGTGATGAATCCATTAAAAGTGCACTCTTTTCCTGTTTTTTTCCTAAGTTATGAGCCTTCCAAGATGATGAAGAATTCTTCTGTATGAATTCAAATGCACACTCACTGATGGCGCCACATTCACATCTAAATTTGCAGGTGTCAGTCACTTGTTGCTTTATAAGTTGTGTTTCTGCTGATGTACTTTCTATTCTTAATCTGTTTTCCAATCCTGAAAACCTTTTAAGAAGATTTTTGTTTTGATGAGATAATGATTAGGGAGGTGCAAAATCTACTTGGTTACATCTTCTAGGAAGAGCATGAAAACAATCGTGCATATTGATTTGCCATCCATGTTAAAACCTTTTTCATGGTCAATTCGTGAAAAGTTCCTACTGGTGCTTACGAGAATTCTCCTCTTTGTATTGCAGGTCAGATCCAAATCGAACAGTCTCGATGCCAAGAGACCTCTCTGGAGTCAGCTTCCCACACTTCTCCATGTCTGAGCCCTGTCACTGCTCATGAAAAAGCTTCCGAATTTGAATCAGAGTATCCGTTTTGCAATGTCGTGATATCACCAAGTCATATAAATAGACAAAATTTCGTAAGCCAGAGCTTTAACTTATCTACATCTTCTATGCTTCGCTCTTGAATTTGCATGCTTATATTATGCTCGTTTCTTATCATACATTTGTTCATCATCAAACTACTATGTGAGCAGACCATTCCATGGCCGTTCGTGAAGACATACATTCGAAAAAAACATCAAATGGTGAATCTTGTTTATTTGGGCCGATCATTTGAGGTGCAGCTCCGGGTCTATCAGCGCTTCAACATTGCATCCTTGGGGATCGGTTGGTCCGCGTTAGCAAGAGCAGCTTGCCTGCGCATAGGAGATATCTGCGTGTTCGAGCTCATCAATAGGGACAATATCGTGTTCAGAGTCTCCATCTTCAGTAGTGAAGATAAAGAAGTGACTTGCATCGAGTGAGATCAACAACGGGAAGTGTCGCACTTTAGGCTGTTTCCGATGCCGAGAGGAACTCGAGAAACAAATTAGCTAACACCAGTTCATGCTTCCTTTATCTATACTGTGATTTAATCAATGAGGAAGTTCACTTCTGCTTGCTCGCATAAATACTATTGTTTCCTGGTAACTGCAAATCAGATGAAAGTAAATCTACTTGAATCAGAACGTTCATGAGATCAGTCATTGATGGGGCTGGAAGAAAAACAGGGGAAGAAGAATGAAAAGAAGAAAAGGCAGCTTGTGTGATGCTTTGCAGCTCGTGATAGTGAGTGAGTTTATTCTTATATTTGTATATTAGTCTTGCTAGTGTTGGTGAAGTTTTTGGTAGAAAGAGGGATGCCTAGCATTTCGGTGCTGTCACTTTCATGTGATAATGGTGCAAGGAGAACCATTCACTTCATTTTGCACGGGATGGGCAACCAGAAAAAACTCCGCTTACTTTCTTTCCTTTTTCTTTTAATACAAGGAACAATATATTACAAACTCATTTCCCCCTTGAGATGGGAAAAGTTACCCGATTTCAAGGGGAAAACGAGCGGCAGAGATGGAGCTGTCACGTAATCATTTCTCGAGAAATGAATATCGCTTAAAACTTAGAGGGATAATTCTACGGGACAATAATAAAGGCCAGCGATGTTAGGGCGGTGGAGATGTGAATGTTTCGTCACATGAGCGGGCATACGAGAAAAGATGTGCAAGAAAAAGTCAGTATCACTTCAATTGAGGATAAGATGAGAGAAGTCCATTTGAGATGGTTTGGTGATATGAAACGAAGGCATTCGAATGCTCCGACGATGAGAAAATGTCGTCAGCAAGAGATGAAAACATTTGGTGAGAAGGGACAGAGGAAAATGCAGAAGAAAGTGGAAGAAGACGATAAACAAATTTATGAAACATATAGACATGTTTTGTAGATAGAAACAGATTTGGAATGGGATAAAATTCGGAATGGAATGGAACCGAATGGAATGAAATTATAAAAGGAAATGGCATTGATATTCCTTTGTTTGGTCCCAACAATGGAATTGAACCAACAATTTATCATTTTTTTGGAGCGAGATTTTATGTAATTTTTTCGGCTGGGAAAAATTTAATAAATTGCTAAGTTTAATTTGGATAAAAAAACAAAACTTGGCAAAAAAAAATAATGATAAGAGGTGACGTTTTATGCCCATGACAAAGGAGCTTTTTTGAACATTTTAGAGAAGGATGATGATACAAGGAAAATAATTGCTTACCAATACTTTGACTTTTGAAATCATGTAGTAGTGTTTTCTAGAGTTACAATCTGATAAAGAGTCGAGAGTGACTAACTGACTACATGCGGTATGATGAATGTTGCCAACCCACTTTAGCCAAATAACAATGGATTTTTTATTTTTTATTTTTATCATCGTTGTTGTCGATAAGTAATGAGTTGGATCGGTAGGATGAAAGCAATTTGATCCAGCAGGATATACGATAAAATGAAACATCCAATACAGTGACAAAACAAGTGTTTTTGCCAAAATTGTATTGTCGACGAAAAGTCTTTCGCCGAAATTCGTTTTTCGGTTTTTTATTAAAAGGAGACGGATTACATGACAATTCCAGACGGGAGTTGTATCGATGGAACACAAGAACCCAATATAGTTTAACGGAATTTAATCAATGATGAAGCCCAATGACATAAAAAGCTTTGTCGGAATTTAATCAATGATAAAGTGCAATGATAAAGAAACAACGTCGGAATTTAATCGACGGCAAAGATTTGAAAACTACCATTAAAGTACGGGAATTGAAAGATATTTAAATTGCAAAAAAGTAAAGATAAAGATAAATTTGCGAGAACGTTGAGTTCTTTGATGAATTGACTAAGACTTTACAAAGAGTATGATGTGGCTAATTATAGCCTACAATCAACCATTACATATGACGGTTACAACTTTGGAATTCAAATAAACAAATAACTTTCTAATGGCGGTTACAAGAAGTTATGTGATCCACTAATTCTTATTGTCTAGAACACTTATCTACAATAAGTTATAAATTCCCTCAATTAGCGTCAACAAAACAAAACTACCCAGTAGTTATGTCTTTGTATTGATTGCCCACTGTTGATGACTCTATCAATTAACTTCTTGAGTCTTAATAAAGGCTCTCGTCAATAATTGATTTTGTCAATGACTTCTTTAGCAAGTTGTCGATTCACTTCAACTTATCGATTGTTTTGCTCATTGTTGACCAAATTATGCTCTTATCGACTAAGTCTGATACTTATCGATAATAACCAAAATGTTGGTAACCAAACTCTGCTCTATTGACTAAATTTATCACTTGTCGATAATAATCCAAAGTTTGTCATTTTTGGTGTAAACATATGCCCCTTTTAAAGAATCGAATGATACATCGATCATTTGATTATTTTAAATTAGATAATTATGAGTCATCATGTGCCTCCTTGTCATCTGCAAATTCGATTTTTCCTTACCAAATCTTATCTTGGTGAGATTCATCATCTGACAAGTTTTTCCACGTAAGCCACATTCTGTGTGAAGTTTTCATGTGGCCCTCTATTTCCGTCCTTAAGTACTTACTCATACTTAGACACCCATAAATCAATAAAAAATTGGCTTTCAAATTTTTCTCTAAGATTAAATTTCAATACATTGAAAGCCAAATTTGCAAATTCTTTATCAGAGAGTGAAGTGAGGCATCTATTTCTAACCTTCTTGAATCAAGCAACACACTATTTGATCGACTCGTTTATTGTATTGATAGAGTGTAGTCAAATCAGCAATTGATACCTCAAGTATTGTTCTATAAAATTGAGAATAAAATTGTCTCTCCATCTGTGCCCAATTACACACCGAATTTGGTGGTAAAATAGTGTATCGGATAAAAGCAGTTTTCAGTAAAGACAAAGGAAATAACTAAGTCTTAAAAACTCATTTGTCCCTGCTTTTCTACACTGCGTTATAAATCGACCAATGTGTTCAATAATCAATTGTTCATCTTCGCTAATAAAATGGCAAATTTAGGAATTTCAAAGCCTCTTGGAAAAGGCTGATTATCGACCCATCCAGGATATGGTCTCCTTAAATAGGTATGATAACACATTTGTCTATTCCCAATCGTTGTCGAGCTTCTTCAACAAACCTAGATAGGTTCAATTATAAATTTGGTTGGCCAATTTGTGCCCTAGGCGATAACGCTGGTCTTGCCAAATCATCAACGTTAATCGGCATGTTAGACCTAATAGGATATTCAAATTGAGTAGAACTAGCCTTATAAATTTAACATTTGGCAATGATTGGCTTGTTGACCAGTTTAATTTGCTAGATCCTTGTCACCAATTTGGTTAATTTGACCAACATCAGCTTGCTTACTCTCATCATTGTGACCTAGATTAGAATATTCAGGCCTTGGCATACTTCTTACAAGGGGGTTGACTACTCTAACCAACATTATAAGCATCAATAAATGAAGGAGGAGTAGGAACGTGCTCTATTACCACTAGATTGGATAGTGGTGGTTGATTGGACAATCCTAACCTCAAAAACATATCATTCATGGCATTAATGATGATCGGCTCAATTACGTCTGACATGTGACTCATAATGTATTTGGCTATACCATTTCGTTGCTCTTCAAACAATCTCTTCATGGTGGCAAACGTATGAGGATTTGATGCAACTTCTCTTGATGGTTCTTCAATGAGACGTCTGGGAAGGCATGCCCCCTCGCATTGCCCTACTTCTGCCGCTCAGTTTTTATTTTTATTTTTTGGTCAAACAAAATTTTATCGAATCTGAAAGTACTTCAAATACCAAAGCCCACGTCAGAGACATCAAAACAAAGTAAATCCCAAAGAGATTGGGGGGTTGAGATACCCAATTTGAGGGTAGATTTTTTTGTCTATGGGTCTTACAAAGCCAGTCCGCTACACTATTGGATTCTCTTTTGCAATGGGCTAAAGAAATGTTCTTGAACCGGCCCATGGCCCTGCGAGCTTCCACGATAAGAGCATGTGCTTCCCAATTACCTTGATCTGAGCTGTTAACCACGTGAACTAAAGACAGACAGTCAGATTCAAGTACAATATCTTCTTCCTTCTTTGCTTCGAGGAGAGAGAGGGCAGCGAGCAAGCCTAGGGTTTCAGCTTGAATCGCGGATGACGCTGGTACCGTTCTCGCTACTCTATCCACCAGAGCTCCCATTGCATCGCTGCCGCTCAGTTAATGGTAGAAGATTTGGAGTGTACAGCCGTGTCACTACAATTGGGATCGTTACTCGCGGCGATGTCAGACTCTAGATGATTCTTTGTTCTTGGCATTAAGAAATTTTGCGAATGATAATGATACATTTACTCATTTACATTAGGGAAATAGGTTTGGAGCAATCGGCATGTGCTTATGATTCCAATTTTATTTCTAGAATAAATTTTGTTCTAGAAATAAGTTTAACGAGAAATGAGAAGTTAAAATTTTTGCTTTTCTATTTCTAGAACGAGAAATGAGAAGTTAAAATTCTTTAAGTAATCGCTAGATCCTCTCTACTAGGCGATCAACCACTCATGCGCCCATCTCCCAGCCTGCTTGCCGTGGCGGACCCTGCTTGGCCACCACTTTGCCTAACGCGTGCGTAGCGTCCCCGAGCCTATAGTCTCCAGCTTCTGCCATCTCTGCCCAGGCTCGGCCTCACCTCTCTGCGTAGCCACTTGCATTCCTTGTTCTTGGCATTAAATATCCTCACGGTCCGCCTCCGCACTCGCCGCCCTCCTCCCATCGCGCCGCCTCCGGCCGCCATCCTCCGCATTGCCGCATCACTCATCCGCCGCCGCCTCCCACGCCATCCACCACCCGCCATTTGCCATAGCCGCCCCCGTCACAGCCGTCCCCCTGCCCGGTCCACTCTCCGGCCACCGAAGATGGAGAAATTTTGTGCCGTTATCAAACAAATTTCTGTTTTGGAATAGAAATTTTGTGTTGTTATCAAACGTGTTTTTTTGCTCGAAACTTCTCCGAAGAAATTAATTTCTGAAATAGAATGGTTGTCATTGCACCTAAATATCCTCAAATCGAACTACAAGTTGTCCCATTGGGCATGCCAAAAGATGTGCGTCGACAACGAAATACCTTTCACCGAAATTCCGTTCTTTGATTTTTACTAGGAGGAGATGGGTTTTATGGCGATTATGGACATGAGTTGTATCAATGGAACATAAGGAAAAAGTATGCTTCAATGGGATTCAGTCAACGATACAG